CTCTTGGAATTGATTCCAACTTGATTTGGAATTCTAGGCTTTTAGGGGGAGAAAGGTAGATAAATGTATTCTTACATTTGGTACTACTGTAACTACCTGAAACCATAATATTTGGGTACATTTACAACCAAATTCATACAGGAAAAATTAATTTATGTCTCAAACCAACTTTTATAAAAATATTATTTTATTAAAATAGCCAATTTATGGAAAGAGCTCAAATGTCTATTGACTAATGAATGCATAAAGAAGATGTGGTGTATACGTATATGATGGAATATTACTCAGTCACAAAAATGGATGAAAATTTGCCATTTGCAATGATATGGATGGAGCAAGAGAGTAATATTGTAAGTGAAATAAGTCAGGCAGAGACAGACATATACCACATGATTTCACCAACATGTAGAACTTAAGAAACAAAACATGAATATAGGGGGGAGAAAAGAGAGAGGCAAACCATAAAATAGGCTCTTAACTATAGAGAGCAAACTGATAGCTATTGAAGGGAGGGGGGATGGGTTAAATGGATGATGGGTATTAAGGAGGGCAAATGTCGTGATGATCACTGGAATCACTGAATTCTATACCCGAAAGTAATATATAAATACACACACACACATACACACACACACACGTGCACATGTTGGGAAAAGAAAATGTGGCCTTTCAAGAAGAAAATGAAGGATATTGTGTTCAGAACAAATACTGAGTCATATATGCTATGCCTCAATTATATCATTTATATCTATAAAATCATAATATACACATTTTCTTTCATTTTTCACTAGTAACTGAGACTAATCTAAAGAGAATAATCTAAATAAAGTTTGAATATGTTCGTGATGAACTACATGGACCATCTAGATTACTTTGCATGATATATTGCTCAAATATATATATTACTAGAAATTGGCTTGCTCAGTCTGAACATAGATATAAACAGAATTGGATCCTGCATTCTTTTTGAAAAATTTGCCTCGTTGAAAGAAAATATTGTGAATCCAGTAGGGAAGGAGTTTCATTTCTTGATGATTATTCTGTGTCACTTTAATTTATTAAAAGCTTGGTGTTGGTTGGTATGCAGCAATTCATAGGCTGCTTATGAATAGAATTTCCTAGCAGAGCTCATCATTCTCCTTTAAGTTATTTTTAATTTTTATCTTAAAAATTGTCAGAAAGTAAAATTGACCTTATCTTTGGTGTATCAGTTTATGAATTTTGACACACATGCAGATTTATGCTATTATCAACACAATCAGGATACATAATAGTTACATCCCTCAAAAAAAAAATTCCCTGTACTCTTCCGTTATGGTTACATTCATCCCCACCTGTACTCCCCCATGTTGTGCAGTACATGTGGCTTGTGGTTGCTTATTAAAAACAGAACTGATAAGCTAGTTATACTATGAGCAGCAAATCTCTATGATTATGTGTGTGATGTAATTGGGAAGCAGGAATGGAGTATGTTTCATCTACTTAAGGAAGGGGCATTTCATAATTGCATGAAGAGGATTTCTTTTTTAAGTTTATTTGTTTATTTTGAGAGTGAGAAAGCACGAGCAGGGTAGGGGCAGAGAGAGAGGGAAGGAGAGAGAGAATCCCAAGCAGGCTCTGCACTGACAGTTATGCAGAGCCTGATGTGGGGCTCAAACTAACGAACCATGAGATCACCACCTGAGCCAAAGTCAGATGCTTACTTGAACAGAGCCACCTAGGTGCTCCATCAAGAGGTGTTTTGTTTTGTTTTGTTTTGTTTTGTTTTGTTTTGTTTTGTTTTGTTTTAACTAAATCTCCTCCCATGATTCTGATAAATACCCCTCTCTCTCTTTGGGAAAAGAAAATTTTCCTTTCCTACTTGAAAATCACTATTATTTATAAGAATAATCACTAGTACTTATAATATTATAAATTAATTAATCACTAGTATTTATAAGAATATATTTTACCCCATATGTATATTTGGGAAGATGGAAAAGTAGAGGTTTAAGAACAATGGCTTTGAAGAAAGTATTTTTTTATTGTGTTAAAGACCTCTCTTTAATGTCTGGGTATCTACCATTAAAAAAAGTATTCTAAAGTCTTTATAATAGTTTCCTAGGTTAGAACTCTTTGGGGATATGAACTGAGTCTTGTATACTGTTAAATTCTCAAGGCCTGAACATTTCTTAGAAATGTATAGGTAATCAATAAGAAAGGGATGACCGATGAATACCTTTTCTGAGCTTCAATCTACTCTTTAAAGTTAAAATGATAAAACTCAGAGATTTCTGCTTCTTACCACAATGTGATAACAGGAACTCGATTTATCCTCCCTCCTCAAACAATTAGAAAGCCAGTAAAAAAAAGTATATAGGACAGTAGTTTTCAGACTTTGGGCAGCAGACAGAAAAGGATTGTGATTTCTTTTTAAATTTTTTTTTCAACGTTTTTATTTATTTATGGGACAGACAGAGACAGAGCATGAACGGGGGAGGGGCAGAGAGAGAGGGAGACACAGAATCGGAAACAGGCTCCAGGCTCCGAGCCATCAGCCCAGAGCCCGACACGGGGCTCGAACTCCCGGACCGCGAGATCGTGACCTGGCTGAAGTCGGACGCTTAACCGACTGCGCCACCCAGGCGCCCTGTGGATCAATATTCTTTAAAATCTTATGAAGGAGAAAAGGAAAAGGAGTAGAAATGAGACTTTTGAGGGTTCACTATGAACACTCTGTGCTCAAAGGTAGATTGGGAGAAAGTAGAGGTATGATATGTAGAATAATGTCTCTCACCCCTCAGATAAAGAGGTCGAGGTCTGTGTCCTAAACCCTGGAACCTGTGAATGGTATCTTATACGAGTTACAACTATAGAAGCAGAGATCAGAGTGATTCAGTGTGAGAAGGGCTCAAACCACCTTTGGGGCTTTGAAGATGATGAAAGAGGTCTGTGAACCAAGGAATGCAGAGTCTCCCCAAGAGCCTCCAGAATGAACACAGAACTGTTGACACCCATTGAGATCTATTTTTTTAATGTTTATTTTTGAGAGAAAGAGAGAGAGTGTGTGTGTGCAGGGTGGGGAAGGGAAGAGAGAGAGAGAGGGAGACAGAATCCAAAGCAGGCTCCAGGCCCTGAGCTGTCAGCACAGAGCCCGACGTGGGGCTCAAACTCTGGAACCACAACATCATGACCTGAGCTGAAGTAGGATGCTCAACTGACTGAGCCACCCAGGCACTCTGAGATCCATTTTGAATGTGACCTACAGAATTACGAGATAACAATTCTGTTTAAGCCACCAAGTTTGTGATCATTTGTTTCAGCAACAATAGGAAGCTAATACAGCAGGGAATCTTACTGTTCATGAAATACATAAGGAGAACATAGAAGAGGCGTGCTTCCTTTTTTTAATCACTGGGGGCTAAAAGACAGATGGAAACTTGCTGTGCATAAATTATAAGGAATTATAGACCTGGATAGGGGGACATCAAAGGAGGTGACATTTCAGAGCACCCTCGTGAGCGGAGACAAAAGACACATAGGGACACATCTCACTCATTAATGTCTGAGGTAGGGCATGAGGAGGGGGCATTTTATTCAAATGTTGGAGTAGGGAAAGGAATTACAGTGATTGATTTTTTCATTTGCTCATTCACTCACTTGACATCTATTTAAAATAGTTTACTATGTTTTAAATATTGACTGATAGACCCAGTATTGAACGTAGTTGGCCCCACCTCTATTCCTTCAGGACTCTACAGTCTTCTGAAGAAAAAAGACATTTTACAAATGAAACACAGTTAAATATAAATTATAAACTTCACTGGTGGTTTAAAGGGAAAAAAATGGTTGTAGGAAGGAATAGTCACTGAGAACCTAATTTAGATTGGGAGAATCAAGTAAAGCCTTCCCGAGAAAGTAATATTAGTGTTAGAACACAGAGGATAGCCTGGCTAAGGACTGTGAGAGAGTCTCAGAGAAGGAAGAAAGAGAATATGCAAAGGCCTTATGTTAGGAAAAAATGGGATTGTGCAGAGTATATGGAGCAAGAAAGACCATGTCTAGAATTATCTGGGCAGGCAGATTACCGGGATTTGGGGGCTTTTATTCTAATACTTACGTACTGTGATTTCTGATTATTCTGATTCCCCACACTTAAAATTTAGCTTTAAGTAACAGGATAATGGGATGGCAGAGATAGAAGCATCTTTAGCTCTCATTAGCCTAACTGCTTTGATTTTGAGTTGAAGAAAAGTGAGACACAGGGAGGTGACCTGGCTAGGTTAAAGTTGCACAGGTGACTCTGGATCAAGAGTTCAGTTCCCTAGTCTCTTTCAACCACTGCCCTTCTTCACACATGGCACTGCCCACCACTGAAATTCCAGCAGCTCTGGAAGGGACCACTTCCAGAAAGGACAGGCTGATAGAAGGTCCATCCGTCATTCTGTTACTTTCCTCCTGGTCCACCCTCCCTGGGATGACATGATACCAGGCCTCCAGAATGCTGAGCAGCCCTAACCTTTAGGAAAAAGCAGTCTTGTGGAGATAAACATCAAATTTATGCTTAAGGAGTGAAGAGTGTGTACCCTAGAGTCCTCACAGTGCTTGTCACCATGAGGAAAGCATCTGAATTAATTAGGTGTCACTTTTATGTTTTTTTCTCCATTCTTAATGTTTCAGCTTCCACAAGGTCTTCTCAAGGTGGAAGTGTTACTGCAATGAGAGATGCTAAGAATGACCAAAAGGTGATTTAGTTCTCTCTAGTTGATGAATAAAAATACGTTTATTTCAGAATAAGCCATTTTCTTTTGTGATTACACACACACACACACACACACACACACACACACACACATCTTAAGCATTTGTAGTTCACTCAGATTTGTTGCCATTATGTAAGCTGAGAAGTTTTTCTGTGAGTTGAGTGGCTTTTTTTCCCAGCTGCACATAGATATAAGTAATACTACAAATATATGTTAAGGGAGTCGTTACTGTGTCATTTACTTGCATTATGTTGTTACCTTGTATTATAGAATTCTCTGATGTTCCATGTCTAAATGATAAAATGCAGGCTCTCGGAGCTGAAAGAGATTGAGGGGGAGAGAAATTTTTTTTTCTGCTAAATATCCATTCTGAGTGACGCGAAATTCATTGCTTCAAAAGGAGAGCCTGTACTAACCAATACCAAAAACAAACAAGCGAACAAACAAACAACCAAAAAACAGCCAGCCCCACCTCATCCCACCCCCAGCATCGCTGTAGCCTAGGCGCAGATGGCCTTTGCCTAATTATAGCCAGCTAATTTGCCTGCTTGTAGAACAGCGTTTCTTAAAGTATGGTTTCAAGACTACTGGTGTCACACCAAAAGTCAGCCCGCCACACCAGAGGCTCTGTGTGAGAACCTGCATACCAAAGACTGAGGGTCAACGCTCTAGACCCAGTCAGTTGCATGCACTATGAGAACAGCAGCTATATTGCCCTCTCCATGGGTTTCTGCCTTAGAATATGATAGCCTAGCTGAATTCTTCATGGCATTCCTGTGTAGACCCATCCTACTGAGCATTTAACACTAGAGACTTTTACAAAAGGAAAAACTGTGGATGCAGTGGACAAACAAGGGTGCGGTGGAACAGTTGTAGGTATGCCTAGTATACAATCCTTGTCCCCAAGGCAGAATGCATTCACAGATGACTTTTCCTCCTTTGACATCCTGTGGATCTTGATGGATGTGATGACTGTGTCTTCTGGAGGATATTAATGTTATTTTTTGAGTGAAACACAGAACTGAGCTAGGATCACGTGTGTCTTTGAAACTAGCAAGATGCCACTTATGTTGCACCAGTCTGTATTTACAGTTTAGCCACCTTTCTCCACAGACGTCTGAAGTAGGAAATACGTTCCTTAATGCCCAATCCTTCCATAGTTGTGTGTGAGAAGAGAAGGATGTATTTACTTTGGCTCAGTTATGCTGAAGACCTGCTCCTTAGAAGCAGGGATATGATTCTTATAGACTCATTTGCTTAATTTAATTTAAGGTATCAGTCTCTTGGTGCCTAATACAGTGAAATATTTTGTGATCTTCAGTGCAGAATAAGGTAAGGTCATTGCTTTTTCACTCTAATCATAATATTTGCTATTGATAAAACCAGCGAGTACTCAATCTCCTTTACTTAATTCCCAAGGAAAAGATACCAATCAGAAACTAAGGAATTGTTCTCTATACATGCTAAGTGGTGAAATTTGTACTACTTTTAATCATAGTTCACTTACTATTATCTGCATAGGATCAAAGCAAAATCCTTTAAAAAATTTTTTTAATGTTTATTTATTCTTGAGAGAGAGAGAGCATGAGCAGGGAAGGGCAGAGAGAGAGGGAGACACAGAATCTGAAGCAGACTCCAGACTCTGCGGTGTCGGCACAGAGCCTGACACGGAGCTTAAACTCACACACTGTAAGATCACAACCTGAGCCAAAGTTGGACGCCCAACTGACTGAGCCACCCACGTGCCCCAAAGCAAAATCCGTTGAGTCAACTCTTCATTGTTGCCATCATAGAGGTTAGGTAACTTACACTGAGGTCACACAGCTATGAAGAAGTAAAGCTGGGATTTGAAGCTAAATGGTTCAATTTTGGAGTCTTACTCTTCAACATTGCAAGTCTCCTCTTCACAGGACAAACAAGCATATGAAGGATAAAAACAGCTAACTGTGGAAGTTTCCTTTATGGACGACTGTCTGACCTTAAGCATAATTCTAGCACGGTTTCCACGGTTCCTCCATGCCCCATGATGGCCATGCCTGAATAACATTTGTGTGTCACACATACAGCCGAGTGTAGTTACGGTCAGGAAATCTGACAGAATATCACTCTTGTGGTTATATTACTAATCAACTGACTTTGAGATAATAAAAAGGGAGATTATCTTGAGGTGGGCTTGACCTAATAAGATGAGCTCTTCAAAACCAGGCAAAGTGTTACAAAGACTCTCTCTCCCTCTCTTGCTAGCCAGAGAGCACGGTGTACATGACTTTACAGCTCCTAGGTAAAGAACAGCCACATGGCTTGGAAGAAAACCCTGAGCCCCCACCTGGGGGTTAGCCAGCTGACACCCTATTTGCAGCCTTATGATACCCTGAGCATTGTACCCAGCTAACCCACCCTCAAGTCCGTGGCAATTTGTTACGTGCAATAGAAAATCAATACAGGCTAATGTGTCTTATTATCTTTGATAATGTCACTCTGACTCTGACCCTTACTTCTACTCGCAATGTCCTTATCTGCAGTCACTGATTCGTGACTCAAATCATCCATTTGGATCCTGCATCCGCATCTATAACAAATCTGCAAGCAAATCATTTCCCAATTTGTATGTATTCTCTTTTTTTATGGCATTTGGTTGCCACAGCTCAATATGTATCTTGCTAAATAATTATGCTTCCTCTGTGGTTTTGTCTCTCTGCACATTTTACTGGTTCTGTGAACAAGGGAGTTTCTCAAATTAGTTGTTGATCAACTATTGGTTGATAATCAACACTAAGTTTTATGATCACAGGCCTTACCTGTGTTGTTTCCCATTGAATCTCAAGCATGTAACACTGCGCTTAGTATATAGTACATGCTTAAAAAGTATTTGTCAAATAAATGAATGTACATGGTATCATATAGAAAAAAAACCTACAGTGGCTGATATTTCTTTTCAAGCAGCAGATGTATTGAGCAGCTGAATCTTGGGCAATTCCATTGCTTTTTCGGGTCCCTCTGTTCTCCCAGTGTTAGATATAGCTGTGTCTGCATGAGATACTTAGACAGTGTTGCTGAAAGGCATAGGAATAGAAACTCTATAGGCAAGAACAGATTCATTTATGTGCAACCTTGACTGGAGCTTTAGAACTAGCTGACTTAGCATGTGGGCTTTGTTTTGAGACATTTGTTCCTCTGTATGTCTTCAAAGCACAGATCAGATGGAATGACTGTGGTGCTCTGAATCTGTGCAAAATCGGGTGAAGCGGGCTAGCTGTTTTGCCTTGAGCAGCACTGTTCTCACCATGTTGGTGTCAGCAATCCAGGCCATACTGGGCCTCCAGGGAATCTCAGGGGTCAACAGAACACATTGAACATAGCAGGATTTACTATTGGTGCTCAGCCCTGGCTGGTGTTACAATCGCCTCCACGCAGCCTTCCACACAGTTAATGCACACAGTATTTCAACCCCCACCGTCCCCTTTACTCAGCCTGGTACGATGTACAGCCTGCAACACACAGTCAATATATAGAAAGAAAAAAAAATTACATGCATCCATTGGGTGAACAAAAAAGGGAACTACAATACTATGGCACTACTTGCCAAGTGTTCTTCCAGATACTTTATAAACCTTAGTTCATTTGATGTTCACATTAACCCCTTTGAAAAAGGACATGTTATTCCCACCACAGAGATGATGAAACGGAGATGTAGAACGGGCCAAACAAAACCTGCAAACAGCAGGGATTTGTACCTAGGACTGTTTAAATCCCAGGCCAATGCTTGTTCTATGATTTTGAGGTTGTCAAAATACATCCATGAGCCAGGGCCAGCATGTGAGTTGGGTGGCTGAGGTGCTGGATGAGGGTCTTGGTGAGGCCCAAGGAAGCAGTTTGTTGTCTAAAATGTTCTCATTGATGCCTGGGATCCACTAGGTATACCTTTCCCAAGAAGTGTTTCTGATCTTCAGTAATGACAGATAAATGCCTCCTTTTCAGCCTGCCTGAATTATACACATTCTTTAAGACTGATCTTAAATTCCCTTTTGTGTGAGGGCATATACTTTTCTTCCTTCCTAGATGCTTTTTGAGAATATTACATCACTTTTTTTTTTTTTACTGTTCTTTCATTCAAATAGAAAAACTATCTTATACTTTTCTAAACATGGAGAATATGGGAAAAAGTGGGAAAAACTCCCAATCCACAGAGCAGAGAGAGATGCTTAGAAATCATTGCACGATGTTAAAAGTGCTACAAAGAGGCAGCTATGGATTACATTGGAAGGAGTATCATGCTGCTCCTAATTGTCTCTAAGGGTGAGACGAGGGATAGTGATGGTATTTTAATTGAGGTTTGGTTGTTGAATAGGCTCTCCACGAGGCAAATAAAGAAGTAGAAAGCATCCTGGGAAGACTTCTGAGCATGTTAAGTACTTAGAGGTTTGTGAAAGACTATGTTTTTGAGACTGCAAATAATACCATACGACTGGAGTATAATGCATGCTGGGATCTGTAGGCAGAGTGAACACAGCGAAATATGCCAGGGACAGATCTTCAAGGGATTTACAAACAAGTTAAATGATTAATTGTTTCTCTTTTTTCTTTTTCTGTCCTGCCCCCCCCCCCCCCGGAAGTCAAAGCAAAGATATGGCTTGCTTTCAAGCATATGAGTGACTTGTTAGGTTTTTGTTTTAGAAAGATCATGTTGGAAGAAGTAGGGAGAAAATATTAATGCAGAGAGGAAAATATTGAGGGCAGGGGGACAGTTAGTTTGGGTATTGAATATCGCTTTCCAAAATAGTTTTTAATAACCTCCTAAATTAGTGCTAATAGTAACAAAGATCAGGAGAAATTTTAAAAACCAGAGCTAATAGTTGATGCAATAGGGAATGAGGAGGAGAAAAAGAAGATGATCTTAAGCATTCTAATTTAGAAAACCAAAATAGGAAATGGTTAAGGAAGAAGGTTGATTGTGATCACATTCCATTTGTATAATATACAAAAACGAGTACAAATAATCTATAAGTCATATAGATCAGAATATTAGTTACCCTTGGGGAGAGTCTGGTTTGTGACTGGGGTAAAGCATAATGAAGGTGTCTAGGGTTTTGGTGATATATTTCTTGATCTGAGTGGTGATTACATGGCTGGGCTCACCTGGTAAAAATTCATTAAACTAAAGACTTAGAATATGTATACTTGTCTTTATATATGATGTGCCGCACTAATACGTTTACTTAAAAATAATTTACTGAGAGCAAACTGAGGGTTGATGGGGGGTGGGAGGGAGGAGAGGGTGGGTGATGGGTATTGAGGAGGGCACCTTTTGGGATGAGCAC